TTTAAATCATAGCTCTTTTCAGATCGATTTCTATCGTTTCTCAAACAGAAGCAAATTTCTTGGTTGAGTGACTGACATACTTCAGAAGATCTGCTATATTAAATTCTCTCGACTCTATTATCTAATTTCTTTATCTTGATAAGATTATATACGCACTTCAATACAATTACTCCTTTACGTGTAGCAGCTTGAAGATCTATATTGTCGACGCCGGTACCAGCTCGTCCGACCACACGGAGATTTGGACAAGCGGCAAAAACATCCGCCGTAACTTTGGTCTCAGATCGGACGATAAGAGCATCGTGATTCTGTTAGAGAAAGAATTACATCATTATTTTATTCTAAGAATAATTAAAAAGTATATATATTTATACAAGTTTACTTAATCCAAATTAATTAATTATTAATAATTTTATATTTAAAGGGTAAAAAATAAATAAATTTCGAATTTCCAATGAGATGTGCATATATGTATTCTTTATGCAGAAATAAATTCTACAATTTAATTTGGAACCATTCCAACACTTCATTGGAAATTAAAATTTAGCTACAATCATTTCAGAGATATTAGCGACACAAAAGTGCAATGAGCCCACGTTGGAATAAAAAAATTATTTTCCATATTCTTTTATAGATGCTTATATTTATATTAATATTAATTACTGTTAACGCGTAAAAGTTTTAATTTGACGGAATTTATTCATGCTTTTCAGTGTATTAGCTTAAAAGTGAAACCTAGATCTTGTCATGTTTCCGGATTTATCCAGATATCTGAAAAGAAATGAATTCTGCATTTTTATCTTTCTACTTTTATCAAATAAAGTAATAAAAGATATGCATAGACATGAGTTATGTCTATGATTAGGAAATATGATTCAGCTGATTGCTCATAGAGACTACTGTTTGTGAACTTGTGCAAACTGGTTACTGAACTTGCGTAAAGTCGAGCGAAATATATTCCAAGTCTAATCAGTTCAGACTTCAGTATAATTATCTATAAAAATGAGATAAGGATAATGTATAGTCGCATGGGCGCCTATCGAAGTTATTTTCTTTAAATCATGTTGAAACGAATTGAAACATTCGAAAACAAAGTATCGAAACAATATTATGTAATATACTTAAAATAAAAATCATTTCATGCATCGATTAATATCTATGACACAAAAAAAGTTGTTTTTCTTGTTAGTAAAATAATTCATAATTAATTCTTCATTAACCGTCTCTTTTTTAGTGAAAAAAAATTTAAATACATACAGGAAACAAAGGCGGAAGAAAAAGATGAAAAATTCACAGCTCTTTGTCAAATATACTTCTTATCAATTGATTCGTTTATCGCATAGAAT